GTGCCCATAGCATCGCCCTGCGTCCCATTTTAAACATATTCTGGGTGAAGACGTCCTCTGGTTCTGCATTCCATGTTTCTAGTAACAGCGCTTGCCAGTTCCATGGCCAGGGCTTCGTTACATCCAGCTGATCCCAGATCCTGTCCCACCAGCGCCAAAGCAGGACCGCTCCTGGGCACTGCAGGAAGATATGTTCAATGGTTTCCGGCCTTTTTCTGGATGGAAAGGAGTGTACACAGAGTTTACACCAAGGCAAGGCCTGCCCACTTTGTTCCAGGGATGTCCTATCTATTAGCCAGTCGTTTGTTGGCAGACGCCGGTGTTCGATCTGCCATTGAAGTGAGGCCAGCTTGGCTGGCTTCGTCTTGACGAGATGGAACCATTTTACTCCCCGAAGTGATTCCTTGCCGGTGTTCAATTGCTTCATCCATCTGGCCTCCACCTGGTCACATAGATTAGACGCTGGGCGGAGTAGTCTATATGTTGATTTAACAGTCATGCTGTGTAATTTTCTGGTGCATGTCTTTCCCCTGCCGGAGGGAGAGGTCCATTTCCACTCCATCGGGTCAAAGGGTAGCTGGGTGATTGGGGTGTTTGGGAGGAAGGTCATCCATTTATCCCTGTTTTCTAGCACTCTGATGCGCAATAGTTCCTCCTTTTTAAAGAATCTTGTTTCTTGGGGCTCAGGTCGATACAATGTGTTGCCATTTCCTATTTTAAATATGTCAACAACCACCGGACCTCTTGAGCAACACACCACATTGCCAACCTCTCCCTGACTGCCCAGGATTTGCACCCAATCGGATTCTTGCAAGAGGGGCCCTTTTCTGAGGGTTTTCCACCAACTCAGAGGGATCCTTTCTATTAGGTCCCCTAGTGCGGTTTCTGACCTATGGCTATGTCGCAATTTCTGCCGGAGCAGATCCCGGTCAATCCAATCCCTTGTGTTTGTGTCCCAGATATCCCTTATTCTAAGTATGCCCCTTCTCACCCAAACGCGCCAGGGGGAGTCCGTGCAATGAAGAACCCGTCCCCTGTTGTCCACAATTCTTCTATTGTCGAAAAGGGGTTGTCGTAGTATTTCCTCCCATCTTTCTGGTTGGGTTTTGTCCGGTAGTGGGAGTTTCCTCCATGTCCTCAGAAGAGATGGCCAGAAGGGGTCATTTCGTAAATCCCTTTTGGCCTGCTCCTTTGAGGAAGTTGGGCTCTGTTGTGTGCGATGCCCTCTTGGTATTGGCCAGCCTCCATTTTCTAACCATGAGAGAGGGCTAGTTTCTGGTGTGGTTTCAGGGGCTAGTCGTGCAATTTGTTCCAAAGCCAGCCCTTTCCATGGGACGTCAGACCCAAAAAGCAGTCGTATGAGCCATTGCAGTGCCAAGGCATTAGATTGTGTGGTCGGGTCGATTATGCCCAGACCCCCTTTGGTCTTTGGCAGGGTTATGGATTGCCATGCGACCCTGTTGATTACCTTGTGTTTTTCGTGATCTCCTCTCCATAAGAATGCGGCAATTTGTCGTTGCAAAGAGCGGCGGGCTGTTTCATCCAGGGCCCAAATAGCCGATCTGTACCACAGCGAGGCAAGCACTACATTGTTTATCACCAGGGAACGTCCCTTCAATGAGGTGTGCTTGTCCTTCCATTGTAGCAGTTTTTGCAGTGGTGCTTTAAGCAGTCCATCGTTATTTTCTACTGGTCTGCCATTTGCTGTTAGTGCAACCCCCAAGACACGGATGGGGGCCTCCTTTGGTACCCATTTGACCCGTGGCTGCTCCGGGGGCCTGACTCCTTGATGGTGGATCCACCATCCTAGGGTTTTGTTTCCCCAGTTGATTCTCATGTCTGAGAGCCTACAGAATTTGTCCATCATGTGCTGCACCTCAGACATCGATGCATGTGATGCATCCACCATTAGGGTTAAGTCGTCAGCAAACAAGGAGCATACCGGTATTGCTTCTTTCGGGATTGCAGTGACTTGGATTCTCTTAATATCCTTATGTAGACGTAGATTTACCGCCAAGGCTTCCATCACTATTACAAACAGGAAGGGTGCGATTGGGTCGCCTTGGCGGACTGACCTCTGTATGGAGATGGGCGGTGCAAGGTTTCCATTGACCATAACTCTGGTTGTAGCGTTTTGATGGAGAATTTTCACCCATCGCTTGAAGTGAGGCCCAAAATTTAGTTTTTCCAAACATTTGTCCAAGAAGGTCCAGTCAACATGGTCGTAGGCCTTTTCAAAATCAATGAAAATAATTGCTGCGTTGTGTTTGGATTGTCTGGCCAGTTTTATCATCTCGTTGACCAGAAGGATATTATCTTGAATGTTCCCACCCTTTATGAATCCAGTCTGATCAGGGTGGATGATATCTTTCATTACCTTATCCAGGCGATTCGCCAGTGCCTTTGCTACCATTTTATAGACTACTGTGAGGAGAGTAATGGGTCTGTAGTTCCTAATGTTTGAGCACTCTTCTTTTTTATATGATAGTGTTAAGACCCCTTGCCCTACGAGTTCTCCC